TGTAGTTAAAGCATGATTTTTCAAATTTTGAAAAAATGAATTAGTTTTTGTGTTTTTTTACTGATGAAAATAAGAAGACAAAAGTTACACAAAATCGTTAACAGATGTCGCTACAACTTATTATTATCATTGGAACCCGGCGCATCCACCAATTTTGATCTTTCTTTTTTACAGAAACCAAATCCTCCATTGTTCATCAATCATCTCAACAACACTCGTCGCAATCTCAATCGCAAACCCATCACAACCACCAACTCGACAAATCCTCACCGGTGGAACGTCCATATCTGGGTCAAACCTCCCTCTTACCTGCCACAAGTACAAGTGCCATCAAAAGTGAGCCCGGTTACGAATACAGTTGTATACAAAACCAGCCGTCGTATCCTTACCAACAAATCTTTGGATTTCCTGGTTCAACCAACAGCGGTGGTGAAGTTGCCTACCACCATCAACATCACGTCACAGCTGCTGCCAAACTAATGGCTTCGTCTTAGTCGATATTAGAGTTATGTATCGGTAAATGTTGTTAGTATTTTTATGGACTTTGTTAACGCTTTGAAACAACAAATTTTGCTTAAGCCTTATGAATACTCAGGTCAAAACTTTAGAAATGACGAAAATTTTGAAAAATTGATTAATAGTGAAACGAGTAACAACAGTGCTTGTTGAGTGACAGTTGAATTGTATGTTCGTGATCACGAAAAACTTAGTGAATTTATTTATGTGATCGTAGAAATAGTTGTGTATTTATTGATTTTATAGAAACTGTTTAAATTATTGTATCCACCTAGTTATTGTTATAAGCCATCGCTATATTTCTATTTAATGACAATTTCATTAATTTATACATATTATTAACCAGTTAAGGATTAAATGTAATTCCAGGACAACAACAGTATTTTGGCCAAATTTAAATCGACTGAATGTTTTTCGATTTTTTTATTATAAGTGCAATGCTAAATGTTTAGGTAATTAAATAACATTGTTTGCTTTATTAGATTAAAAAAGTAATGTTGAAATTTAAAATTGTCATGTGTTTAAAATATTCAAGCTCATATTGAGCCATTTACAAGACTACAATTAAATAATACCAAGTGACTAAATGATTGTGACAAAAAATATATTGGCAACACTGAATTAGTCTAGTCTGTAATATCAGATTGTTTCATGTGACGGCTACGCCAGTGGCTGCCCTTCAAAAACAAATGACAATTGACTATAAAATTGTGACATTTAAATTTGATAGTCAATGTTGTTAAATTAAAATTTCTAATTTGTTGCCAATGTGCCGAAAAAAATCACAGTTATTGACAGTCAGTAGAAAACTTTTACTTTGTCAGTTTTTTTGTGTGCTGTAAATATTGACATAGTTTGGTGGTTTACCGTACTAAAAACTTTTCCAAAAAATTGTAATTCGCACTGTTTTAAAATAAATAATTGTAAATATGTGCGTCTGTTTAGTGTTAAAAAATGAAAGTGTAAATATTACTTTTATTATTAAATTGTATTAGTAAAGTATAATAAACATGTGACACATATACTAAGTTCCTCTTTTTTTTTGTATAAACAAACAAAATGACTTACATTTTTGTTAATTCTTAACTTCTAAAATTAAATTATTTACACATTTAACATTTATTTATTTGCTAACTAAAAAAAAAAAACACAAACATACAATAAATTAAATTTTCTATTAAGGCCTATTCTGTAACTTTTTCAAAAGACTGTTAAAACTTTAACTCACATTAAAATCCCCAATCTGGCAATTTTAATGGTTATTGTTATAGCAAAAATGTTTTTGTAATTTGACTCTATTTTGATTCTCTAAAAGACATATTAAAGAACGCGACATCATCCTGTGCAATGTCTTAATAGTCAAGAAGGTGACTAGATCAAATTTTGACAATTAAAATTAAGATATTACCAAACGTCACAATAATCCCTCGATCGATTAAAGTAAAATGTTTTCTTTAAAAACTACAAGAAAAGGGTACAAAAAACTCTTTTCATAAGACCCTGAAGCACTCATTCTTTAAAACAACTCGTGGCTACGCCACTCGTTTTTTAAAGGAATTCATGCTTTAAGACTGGGTTTTTTAAAATACTATTACCGGACTTTAAATTTTAATACTTTTATTACAGAATAAGCCCCATTAAATCCTTAAGTGCTTAAACAAAATACATTGTAAAAAAATAATTAAACAACCATCCGCAGTTTTTTAACACATTTAAATTGTGGAAATTACAGTTTCAATGGGAACAGCTCCAATTACTGGCTTGAAAAGCAAAGAATGCAGCACTACAGCTGATGGTATAAAAAGCAAAGGCAATGCTAGCAAAATATCAGCGAATCGTCTCCGCTCTAAAACCGTCCTAATCGCCAACTCGTCTAAAGCTCTCGTTAACACATTTAAAGCCAATGTTATCTGTTCCACATCATCCAAAATATCAGCTCTACATAGCAAAATGTTTTCAACTATTTCCAAGTCTGTTAAATCCAATTTCAATTGTTTAATAAATCTGAAAGTTCCTTCAACTCCTGGAAATAAGTTCGCACTTTCAGAGGGCCAATGAGCCGCTCTTAGTAAAAATAAAGGACCCCACAAGTGGCTCAATATCAAGTTTTGCGAAGTACGATTTAATAAACCAAATCCTGAATTACAGCGAGCTTGTTTTATGGCAACGAGCAAAATTTGGGCGGCTAGTTCATGAGTTGAGTTGGTTTCCGGAGGAAGCGGTCTGGAGACATTAGTGTAGAGAAAACTTTCTGAATTTACTATTGAAAAAGAAGGTTTTCGAGATATTAGTTTTGGTTTTCTGGGCCCACGTTCCTCTTGGACAGCTGTAGCAAAAAATAGTAAGTGCAATAAACAGTAATTTTGATTTTATTTTATTTTTACCAGCCACATTCATTTGAACGGCAAAACAGCGTTGTAATCTGCAGTATGGACACCAGTTTCTTCTTGCTTTATCAACAATGCATCGCCCCTCGCCAGCTGTAAATGAATTGTTTGAAATAATCTTATTTTTATTCGTAGTTGCAATGTTGTTAAATTTATAAATGTTTTCAACTAATAGTAATAATTTAAATACTGGGTTAATTTTTATGAAAGAAAAATCGTATGTTGAGAATAAAATAAAAAAAAAAATTTTCAATTACTTTTAGCTCACCTGTTACAAAAGTATGCCAAATAAGTTGATCCTTAAGAAAAAAACGTATTATATTATTATTTTAAAATTTTAATTAAAAAGTTTGTTTGATTTTATTTAAATTTTTGTAAAAATAAAGAGTGTCAAATCTCGTATCTTTAAGATTATCAAAATCAAAATTACAAATCACTTTAATATTAATATAGGAGTACTAGTAATTGTAATAATTTCTTTATATTTTCATTCCAATGTACATCTTTCAAACGTATTCTTTTGTTTTCTCTCTCTCTTTCTATTTTGGTCAAATATAAATTCTTCATTTCAGCACAAATAAAGAATTATTAATCAAAAATGAAATTAAACGCATTTGTTGTTAAAAGACCACTGTTTTCAAAATAAACAATAGAATTAGTAAAGTTTTATCATTAAAATTTAGAATATAATGTAGTGAAAATCATGAAATTTCTACCTGCTTATTTATGTATTTATTTATTTGAATAAGAGCTTTTTATTCTTGGTCAAAATTTAATATAAAATAATCACAAAATACAAACTGATTTTTTAAAATGGTCCAATTTTAAAAATTTTGAAAATTAATTAAATGGCTGTAAATATAGTATAAGCTGATAGTTTCAGAATTTTTCTAAATATCATTGTACAGGGTGTTACGAGGCCTGCGCCGGTATAAAATGCAATTGATATTCCGATACTAACTCGATTACAAATTTTGAAAAATTGGATAATCTTCTCTAGTTTGTTCACCCTTTCAAAAATTACAACGTTTTTAGTTAATTAGTGATTAAGATAGATAAACTAGAATCATATTTATGCTGTCTGTTAATACAACAAATGATAATTGTTTCTGAAAACCTGCAGTTTATGACTATTGTCTAATAAAACAGTGATTAGTTGATAACTACTGTCACGGGTTTCCAAAAATTAGATAATTAAAAGTGTATTTTTGTGACTTTTGTTTATTTAGATGCATACCTTATATGTAAGCCTCGTAAAGTTGTGTGAAACACCCTGTATATTATTGAGCTATATTTAATGTTCTAATTTTAAAACAGAACCCATATTTTTTTTTTTAATTTGGAAAGTATTAGTTTTCTTCTAAAACGCCTGTCGTTTTTTAAACATCACCCTGTATAAAATATAATAATAAATTCAACATTTTGGACAACTAATTAGCACACCAAAACTATATGTATTTTTAACAATTTGGTACTTGATTCTTTTGGAAATAGAATAAATGAAATACACCGATTATTAGTCCTAAAATAAACTGAAATTGACTGAATTGAATTTCTTTAATGTGTTTTTTGACATATAAACAAACTCTTTGACACCAATTTTTACTCTTCATCTTTAATTACTCTTCAATTGAATGAACTCAAAATTTTGACAAATTTATCATTTTCTTATGTTATTATTAATTTGGTTTGTTGAGAAGAAAATTTTGTATGCACTTTTGGAATAAATATCGTAGTTGTTTATTTTATTGATACATAAATAACTATTATTACTAGTTTAGTAAGCTTAAGTACCTACTACTACTATTTTGTGACATTAAAAAGTAAAAAGCAAACTAAAATTGACTTCTTGATCTTAAATTACTATTAAATAATCACAAATGTTGTACAGAGTGTTCTCACCGGTATTATCGATTAGAAACTATGGTTTTATTAAATTTACTAAACTAGAATTTCGTTTACAATTTTCTTAAATTAATTAATTCAATAGTAAATGTAAAAGTACTTACAGATACAAGTGTAAATAATGTTTCGACGCACACTTCTCTTAAAAAAACAAGAGCATCCATCACAGCAATAAACACCATAATGTTTTCCAAAAGATCTGTCTCCACAAACTCGACAGGGTACCGGCGTTGGCAAAGTACGCCCTGCAGGACATTTTAAATATTTACAATCATTATCATAATTATTAAAATTTCTGATAAAAAATGAGTAAAAAAACAAAATAAATAACCGTCAATTTATGAAAAAGAAAGTGTTTGTATACTACCCATGTATTTCTTTTGTAATAAGTTCTAAACACTTATCACTTCTAATATTTCAGTCGATCTGATTGTTAGTCAACTTTTCCGCTGGTTTTATAGGGTGCTTGTTTGAATGATAGTTGACAGGTAAACCATTAGAAGTGTTTTTGTTCAATCACTGGTTGAACAGGTCACCCCTCACACGTGGCCTTTGACGCCACTCGTTATTACAACAATAATCAACACTCACCTCGAGTGTCTCTTTAATATTTGATAAGGTGCCACCCAATAATGATTACTTGCATAGATTTACTGTTTTTTTTTAAACTTTACTATCGAACTTTTCTTTGAAAATATTCCTTCAAGCACTTAATGTCAATTATACTGTCAATTGTAATTTCAAGTTAATTTTTGCTTTAAGCAAAATTATTAATTGTTAAGGATAGGGTGAGAGAAAATAACTACACCATGCCTAAGTTTTCCCTGTGTTTATTTACAGATAAAATCATGTGAATAAATTCGAATAGAAAAAATGTTGATAAATCTAATAATAAATACGTTTTAACAACATTTAAATATACTTTTAAACATATCAACATTGATCTTGAGTCTATTTAGAGACTTGAGAGGATTGTCTACCCAATTTTTATGTTACATTCAAACTTTTGACAATTGCAGCTATAAAACAAACTTTACATCCAAACTAGAAGAAAGTAAGATAAATGTTCTAGAGTCCATTTAAGTAACACATTCATTAGTCATTCGGAGACAAATTGTTGATGGTATTGTAACTATATGGATTATTCAAGAAGTGTGCGTTTCATTTCCTTTTAAAGTCTACACTTTATACAAATTAGAATTTCAGATTTAGACAGTAGTCACAAAAGAAATAACAAACACAAAAATCAAAGTGTAACACTTAAAAGTGCCATTTTAGTTAAAATATTTGCATAAAATGTAAATTAAGTTTTAATCAGCGCACTTTTTATTTATTTTTGATAGCAAACAGAGAAAAATATATTAATTTATTTAAATAAGTATAAAACAAATAAAAATCACTACAAAAAAGTTAAATCTGAGGAAGGTGATTGTCTAATAATTATTATTGTTTTACGTCGATTTTCCATTTAGCCGACTCTCCCTTTAATGGATAAGAGAATCTGCTGATATAGACAAAGTGCATTGTAGAGGGGTTGTACTTGGTGCAGGCGAAACTGGAAGTTTCATTGGAACTTCTTCAATTTTTTCCAGATCTGCTGCTCCTGCTGAATTCTGCTTGAACAGTCTGGGACTCGTCTGAAACAAAAACTTTTATTTTTTACTTCAAAAAACATTCTTAATTGGTTTGAATTATAAAAAAATTAAACCCAAAACGTGTTAACAAATCACTCCGTTGCTTTTTAACATTTAAGATTTTCGTATGTAAATACACTGTCTCAATTGCAAATTTTATCTCTAAAACGTTGCTTCAATAAAATTCCAAGCAACACAGTTTTGTGTAAGTAAAATCCTGGATACGTTCAGAAAGTCGGAAATGTGAAAATAAGAAAAACTAAAATGGAAATTGTGTAACTTAGAGTCAAGTTTCGTAAAGATTTAAATTTTAATTAAACTCTTTCTTTCGTTAAACCAAAATAACTTCAATTAATTTAAAAAAATTATACACTTTAGTCACTGCTTGTTATTGTCGCTAGTTTTCACAAATTTGAATTCTATTATAAAAATGTATTTTTATCATATAAATTTTATTTATCCGCAAATGTCACAAAAGTGACCACTTTTACGATTAAATGTCACAAATGAAAGTTTTACCTTTCAGCCATGGACTAAAAATTCTACTTTTGCTCCTAAGCGTTTTTACTTTTATCATGACATTTACCATCAATGTTGTCCCTTTTGCTGCTACAGCAATTTCTGGAGAGGTACATTGTAGATCATCGACATTCGACATTTTGCACTACTAACTGCACTAGCCATGCACTAGATAAATAATAGACACTTTCGAAAAGCTCAACACAAATTTCGATACTGATGTGTAATGTTTGTTATACAAGTTGTTATGATTTCATTCCAAAGTGTCCTGATTATTTTGTTCATTTACTTGCTAATTAAAATGTTGCTCTTTTCTCTCAATCTGAATATATTTGCGAATAAAATAATATGTTATTCGGAGCTAAAGTGAGTTTACGTGGCTCAGCTGAATTATCTGCCTCACTACGTTCAGCTTTGCCACATAAACTTTTACTCTGTTTTACTCTTAATAACATAATATACTAATAATTTTATTACATAAATTTATTATATTTCATAGACAAAAGCACAATTGTTTGAAAAACATAAATGAATTAGTTAACTCCCACTTGACAATAATGAACTGAATAATCTTTATATTCCTAAACTTGTCTCACGATAATAATTTGTGTCATTATTTAACAAGAGATATTAAAATCAATTTGTCCAAAATAAATTACTGTTCTTAGTAAATCGGAATTCTGTGACCTAAAATCCACAATAACTCATTACGTAAATACAGCAAAATGTAATTAGAATGATATCAATTTACCATTATTCGGGCAAATAAGAATTTGCACAAATTGATGTTGATTTGTGTTTACCAAACTTACCAATATGGGAAAGCTTCAATATCTGAATGTAGGTAAATATTGAAAGAAGAGTAAATTGAAATGCATTCGGTTAAACTTAAAGCTGTCAAGCATCAAAATCAGACAATATTTGCTTGCTTTGACTATTCGCCCTTCCATTTGCATTTAATTGGAAAACTGCAGTTATTTATGCTTTTTAATCTTGTTTACATGTTATGAAAAATTATCACGGTGGCAAATAACAAATCAATTCATAAAAAAATAAACAAATCAAGGGATGTGTGCAGAGATAAAATACAACTGTGCCAACAGAGCGATTCATTTAATAAAGTGTTCAAACATAAAAATAAATTAAAAATCTCATTACTTACATGTAAGGAGTCTTCCGTTCGTATTTCCTCCGTTCTATCTAAACTAAATTGCCTCCTTAGTAGTTTTCCAATTCGATGCTTCGGACTGAGGCATTTGTAATGATTATATGGAGTACTCAAATCTTCCTCTTCAATCTTGCGGTGTCTCCTAAATCCACAAAGTGAACTGGTTGAAGCCCCCAGTAAAGCAGCCGCAACTTCTGTAGCCGACACCGGAGTTCCTAGAGACATTGGAGTGTCACTTGATGTGCTTTTTACCATGTGATAATCGTGTCTGAAATCGTATAATTTTAAATTGTAGGATTTCAAATAAGCCATCCAATAAAAGCTTGTTGTGCAATAAAAGATACATTAAATTGGGCTTTTATTTGAACAGAAAAGTCGACAAATGTCTTGCAATTTGTTTTACATCTTCATATCGATGCTTGTTGTAAACTGTTTTATTAAACTTTGTTTTATAATTAAAAAACAGCAAAGAGCAAAATGTATTCGAATTTTACACCTCGTCAAGTGAAAGTTTATTTCTCTTAAAAAAATCTCTTTGATATCTCAAAGTTAAAAGTAATTTTTGTAATTGCCTTCAGGCTTGTTTTGTAATTTTGTGAGTATTTTAATAATGTTAATTACGTAAGAAAATGTATTAATAAATAATAATTAAAGATTATTCATATCAATAGTAGTGTTTTTTTTTAATTCAAAGCTGAGAGTGAGAGATGCGTTTTAGATATTTGTGGACATAAATATTTAAAGTTATTTCAAACTCAGTGCTAAAGGCTAAAGATGATGAGATGAATTTCGACATAGGCATATTCCGTTTCATTTCCCTACGGAAACTGTCAAAGTTCAAAATTAATTTAAACGGTAGTAGACATGTATTCCTCTCCTCTCTGTCACTACAAGGTTTAAAATTGTAAACTAATTTTAAAATTTGATTAAAGCAAGTATAATTTTCTTAACTAATTGGTTATTAAAAAATATACGACTAAATTTTTGCTCATTTTTTTTCATTTGACAACATGTGCTATTTTTTTGGTAAATATTAATATTTAGTTTCTTTTATTTTTTTTTATTTTTCACTTTTATCTTCTTCAATTGCCAAAATTTAAAAAAATTGATCTTTGCTAACTTTTTGTCTTTTCACAAAATTAATTAAATAAGTGGGTACATTGCTGAATGCAAAAGGTAAATTTAACAATATTGAACTCCCAGCAGCACAAAAATTAAGAATGTAAACACTGGTTGTAGCACATATTTGTATTCACTTCGCCCATTAGCTGTCTAATTTCGCCCCGACCTAATAAACTTAAAATTGCTTCATAAAATAAACTTCCTCATTTAGCCGGCGGCTTTCGCCACTATTTTAATATTTAACGAGCACTTTTTCGAAATTTAAAATGAAATTCTTACCTCATGGTCGTCGTTTCGTCCTGCGTTTTAACAAGACTTGAGAATTTCGAGTGTTCCATTGTTTTAATAAACGAAGGATTCGGGTTAGGTGATTTTGGTTGATGATCTTCACTGAAAGGCTGTTGACGCGATTCCACCGAGATCGAATCACCCGACGTTGTCGTTTCCTCGTGCTTCAGATTACCAGATATCGACTTAGAGATAATAAGACTTTCGTCTAATCTGCATGAATATTACATAGCAATTAAAACAAGCTGAGCTGAAGTGGTGGTTATAGCGACTAATTGAAATTGTTTTAAGGCACCTGGTTCTGATTTGAAATTCGTAAGTTTTAACCCGACCGAAAATTTTAAATTTGACCTGGATTTTATAAAACAAAAATCGTGAAGCAGTGAACAGAAGTTTATGAAGTGGATTGTGACAAGTTTTTAGTTAGCAAGCTTAACAATACTTGCTGCTCGGTGTCTCAGACACAAGGTACCTACTTAAAACTTCTTCAATTAATAAAATTTCAATTAACAATTAATTTGCAGCATTTTATAGACGAGAAGAATATTTGAAACTTGGTTGAAAACTTACCCGTGACTTTCCCTAATGATGGCAGAGATCGGTAAATAAAGACAAAAATTAGTGTAGAAGCAATAAATATTCAGTTAAACTTATTTTGTAGTTTAAATGAAAGCAAAGTGATGTGAATTATGTGCAGTAGTAAATAAATTATTCTCATCTGTTACCTAAAATCAATATCTGTGAAACTATAAATTAGAAAGTTAATAAAGAAAACTTTTAACATTAAGGTTTAGTGCTTTGACAGCTAGTTTAGATCAAGGCCAAATAATAATATCTTGAAATTTTTATAGCTTTTCAAATTAATCACTAATGTTATTCTATTATTTTTTTATATAATACACTCCCAAAAACAGCTATTTGAGTCTTTTCCGGCCTTCTTTTAATTAGTAAGAGGTGTGAATTCGTGTTTTGGGAGCTTTACAAAAAATCTTGTATGCACCACGTACGCAAAAGATTTTAGGTGACCCCACTCATTAAAGACTCGGCTCCTACGTCGCCTAGTCATTCGTCCCCTAAAACTTTATTTTGCGTACTTGATACAGAAATAGCTATTAATATCTAATCACTTTTAAAATATCGTATAAAAGAGTAGTTTTAGAGAACTTGACTTTTTTTCTTTTTATTAATTTACTTTATTTTTGAAGCAAATGGTATTTAATCCAATTTTCAACATTTGTTTATGGTGACCATTATAGACGTTAATGTTGTAGGTAATGCATTCGCTTGTGACATGGCAAAAATTATTGTAGCGGCTAAAATGCAATTAATCACAATGAATGTACAATATAGTTAATTTTCCTGCAACCCATTTTACATTTCCTAAACTACAGGCCAGAACCAATTTCATTTTTAATCTACGACACAACTGCGGTTTGAACTAATAATCTGATGACCTAAGATAATTAATGATAATTAAATAACTGTCGAGTTTATTCCGTAGCTAATAAAATTGATTATCTAGAGAAGCGTGGTGTTTTAATAAAGAAATATATAACTGATTTTGTACTTTTCCTCAGTATTATATCAAAATGATAAATATATTTTAGCCATTTTTCCAAGGTCCGATTGGTTTGCAGTTAGTAAACAGAGTGCGCCAGAACTCGCACCCCAGAGAAAAATGTAACTCTGTTTAATGTTATTTGTGTGTTTTATTGGCAAAATTTTTGTACCTTTACTAGATCATTAGAATAAACACAAAAAATTTTGAAATGTCAAAATTTTTTACAAATAGAATTTTTACCATGTTCCTGGTATCTTATCTAACTCAAAAAAAATTTCTGAGACGCGAATTCTGACACACCCTATATAATATTAATAAAAAAAAATACAGAAAAGTAGTTACAACTTTAGACTAAAAAACAGCTGGGACATTAATAATGTATTATAGGTAGTCTAGTTATTCCTGAAAATATGCTTAAAAAAGGTTGTAGAATACATAATTGAAAACAGAAATTTTGGTATCAGGGCGGTGTTGGGACTAGTTACAAGGTAGGGTCACCAAGTAGATGCCGTTTTATTGTTTTTGACCTATATCTCAAAAACGGTACGTGCTACAAAAAATTGGTTGTACACAAAATGAAAGCTTTTGAAATTTTCCACGGGACTGTTTTTCGTTTTTGTTATTAACTTAAATAATTTTCGAGAGATCGACTAGCAAATAGAACGCTTTTTTCATGAATACAATGTCTCACTTTGCATCATGGCAGTTAAATCCCAAGTGTACGACAAAAGTGATTGTAATGCAATGTTGGTTGTAGTCACAAATTGTAGTGTAGTCAAAGCTTTACAAGGTTTCTACAGAAAACAAAATCTTCTCTTACCTCACTGCAGAAAATGAGATTATGTTTCACTTCTTGCATAAAAATGTTTACATTCGAAGAAAATTTACACTTTCGTACCCTCATAGGTCGTAGGCAATTTCGTATGTTGTGTTTGTTAGCACACAGTATGAGTAAAATACTAATGTGTATGTAAAGTTTTATTTCTTTTTCAAGTATAACAAAACGTAAAATTAAAATTTCCCGTGACAATATTCACAATCGTTAGAACAGAGAGTGTCCAGTGCATAAAGAGCACACACGTACATACCTAACATTTCCATCAAAATTGGAATTATCTAATGAATAAGTGAAATTTAATTAACCAATTTGGCTACATTTAAGAACTAATCTAAAGTCTAAAGTGATTGGTTTCTCCATGGTTACTCCGACCCCAAACGGACCAATCACATCATAGCATTGAATTTTTGAATGAATCAAAAAATCTAATCTGACTGGTTTTTCCATTATTATATTGGCCGACCTTAAACGGTCCAATCACAATGCTTAACAGTGTTTACGTTAATTAATTAATAGTTTTTTAGTATAACTGACAGAGTGCTATATTTGCTAGCAAATATCTCAAAAGCTACTTGAGTTCTAAAAAACCCAAAAATTATCTTGTAGAAAATTTTATCATTTTTTTACTTGCACAATTATCTAGATATACCTAAGTAAAAAAGTATAAAACGGCACTTTCTTTGTGCCCCCCCTACGCTCCGTTTCCACGATTGACTTTTATTATGTTTAAAATTTAAAAAATCAGTTTTCGACCATGTATTCTACAACTTGTTCGTTGACTGTCAAGTGGTGTTACATACAAAATTTCTATTTTATTGTCATAGTACCCATTTAAGAATGAATTTAAGAATGACTTCTAGTTCTTCGTTGACTTGGACCTTTGATCTTTTAGCATTTGCTTTAGTTTATATTAGACATTAAACTATAAGCTGACAGAATGGATTTTTATCTGCAAAAATTCAAAAACGTCACGTATAATGCTCTGTTACAATATTTCAAATTTTGCAATATTTCAAATGAGACATGTAATGCGAATTTAGGACCTAATAGTTTTTATTAGCTTTACTAAAATAAAGCAATAGAAAAATGAAAAGCCGTTCTAAACAAACGGACAAGCTTCAGAAAGTAGAGCGGAATTTAAACGGACACGCGGCAGTGTTCTATGATAAGGGAATAAGATAGTGTCTCTTGCTGTATAATAAATAAGTCAATGGTTTTTGTCACTACGAATAGCCGTTATAACTTTTTTTAAGTAAGTGATTAATCCGTTAAAACTCGAGACTTTCAGAAAATTTCTCTTTTATTGAGTGAAAAATTCAATAGAAGTACATCTCTCCGGACAAACTGCTTATTTAAAATCAATGCCGCTGAAAGCTTTTAGCGCGACACACATTAAAGCCTCTTCTAGGACTCTTTCAGACAACACTGCCAATACATACAGATACTGAACACTTACTCCAAGGATGGAGGAACCGGAAGCAGTTTATCGAAGCCAGCTTTTCCCAGCAACCAATACGTGTGCATTGTCCCTTTTCCTTTTATTTTTGTAGGACCTCTATATTCTAGTTGATAACCTCCCGCTTTCTCCAAACGCTCTTTCGTTGCTTCGGATAAGTGTATCCTCCATGCAGCACCTGAACATTTTCCGAGCTAGTTAAATACTTACGCAATATCAATTTCACGCACCTGTTGATTCCATTCTTGAAGCTGTGTTAACAGTATCACCAAATAGACAGTATCTTGGCATCGTTAAGCCTACAACGCCGGCACAGCAGGGACCTGTGTGGAGACCTATCCTCAACCGCAAAGGTGTTCCCGGGAGATGGGTGATGCGAAAGCGACCACTCTGATGCAACAAATCCAGAGCCATTGTGGCAATCTACATTACAAATATAACACACTTTAAGGTTTTTATTACACCAAAAACTAGCTACTGATAAATCAATTAATTGTCTTTACAAATTTCTTTCATATTCTCATTTGCTTTAAAAAGTTAAATAAAGTGCTACGAACAGCTGTTTAGGAATCCATAGCGTTAAAAATTTCGAATGTTTTAAAAAAGGTCTTTTAGCATTTTTTTTAGATAATAATCATAAAATACGCATCGTTTCAAATTTATTCGTTTATTGAGTAATTTCATGCCAAAAGGATTACTTTTAAATCCCATTGTTTCCGATTTTCGTAAATTTGGGATACCTATGTTACAAAACGCGTAAAAATAGATGCTACGTGTTTTACAGTTTTTTTTTCAATGTTATATTGAAAAAACAGAGATGTACAAAAAAATACTTCGAGGCAAAAAAAAATATCTTCAGAACAAATCAACATAATACTATTACATGTAAAAGCATTTACTTAACTTTATTCATACGGCCCACTGAAATGAATTTTCTTTTAACAATTGGTACTCTACGGACGTGGTCATGCATGTATTTCAAAAGACTGTTATTACAAATAATTTGAAAATATATCGTTTAAACAAAAATATTGACAATTACGCAGGTTTTTAAAATTCTTTAAAAATTTATTTAAAAATCTTCAGATTTCTACTATGTCCTCAAACAAGTTTCAAGACGGACGTTTTAAAAATGGCTGAAAGAAAATTGTTTTTTGAGAGCGCTGCAAAGCGCTTGAAAGTAGCGTTTTCTTGGAAACTAAATATAAAATTACCCATTACCGTAATTAATAAATTGTTCTTTATGTTTTATTATTATTTATAATAATAATATGTATTCAAGAAATATCTACTCTTTAGATGTACAGGGTGCTGCATTTTGGATGTCCGAATAGGGAATCTCCTAAACTAAGAGGTTTAGCCAAAAACGAGTAACACATTCTGGGGCTTATTTTTTGAAAAAATAATATTGGTTAAAACCGCATCTTGCGGTTTTGTTTTCGACTTATAGACAAAAATTGACATTTTAGCGAAATCTAAAAAAAATCATATCTTCGTTATTATAGAAGACACAGATTTGAAATAAAGACATTATAAGGCACTTTTTTACGTAGAATTTCATAATGTAGTTAACAATTTTTTTCAGTTGTTTGTTTAGCCGTAATAAAATAAACTTGTATTTTTTTAAATGAGAATCATAGATGGCTATGTCATTTTTAAAAAGCTTGTTTTTTTCTTATCTAAAAAATATATATTTGTAACAAATTATTATAATACATTTTTAGCAAAAAATTATTTTTTATTTTTGTTTGCAGTTGGCTATGAAAAAATGTTGCATCTTCGACTAAAAGAATTTAAACTATATTATATTCAACCAGTGTCACTAATGAAAGAGTTTTCTAAGTACTAAGTAATGAAAAATATGCAAAATAAATTGTAAATCAACTTATTGGCGACTAATAACATTTCTTTGTTTTTAAACAAGCTAACATTACCATTGCAACTTCTAGTGATACATAGAGAGTTGTAAAAAAAGCCGCTTTAATTCTTCAATAAAATATATTTTATATGACACAAAAATGACGATATGGCTATTCAAATACCCAAATTCCGTCTATGTGGAACGTTATCCTACCTCCATTGGATATCGTCAAAAAATGTTTTATCTAATTGTGTTGACTGTTGACATATTTGTTTTTCCTATTTTTGGATTTTTTAAAAATATTTAATAATTTTGTTCTGAGGCGCTCGGATATTGTTCAATGCTTTTACCGTATCGTATTTTTTTTTTCTTTATAATTTTATTATCTATTTTTTCATCTATTTTACAGTTCACAAAACTCTTATTGATTATTATTTACACATTTGGAATGAAATAGTTTTTCCATGGCCAACTATTATCACACAAAATATGTATTTCACTTTTTAAGTATAGTTATAAAAAAATATTTTGTTACAAATACATATATATTTTTTAGATCAGAAAAAAATAACCTTCTCAAAATTGCCATACCCGCCTATGATTTCCATTTAAAAAAATACAAATTTATCTTATTACGGCTAAACTAATAACTGAAAAAAATTGTTAACTACATTATTAAATTCCTCGTAAAAAAGTGAAGAAAAACCTTCCATTTAAGCACGTTCAAATTTTGGAAAGACGCACTTTTTATAATATGCCTCTGCTTTGATAGACACTTTAGATTAATATTTAAAAAACTATATAAACTAGAATCTTAATTAATAATTGCGAAAAGTCTAAAACTAAATATGGAAAAGATAAATAGAAAGTTTCAGTAAAGCAGGATCATTTGCAAAATATATGCAAAGCCGCTAAAGTCCCTAAATTTGTAATTGAGAAAGTTTCGGGCTCTTCTTAATATTAAAGATTGAGGCGCATAGCAGTAAAATCCTTAGCAATGAGTCCACTGTCATAACAAGGTTTAACGACCCTCCGTAAAATTTCTCGGCTCATCAACTTACTTGTTCAGCGTGATCAGGAACACGAACCGGCAATCCTCCAACTACCATATAAGCATCTCCGATGGTTTCAACTTTGTAGACGTTGTAAGCATTGATGGTGGCGTCGAAACACGTATAAAGATCGTTCAAAAGATCGACCACTTGAAAAGGGGTCGAATGTGCAGATATTGTCGTAAAACCGACAATGTCCGAAAAATAAATCGTCACTTCTTCGAATTCCTCCGGGTCCACCGGCATTCCCAACTTTAACTTTTCCGCCACAGAACTGCAATTTAAAAATAGCGAAATAATGTTTAAAGTACATGAGTTTCATTGCAGTTGGAATAGTATTATTGTCTCGTTCTAAAACATTTGTTGTACTAAACTTTACCTTGGAAGCATACGATTTAACAGTTGCTCTGTCTTTTTCTTTTCAATGTCGAGCTGCTCGGTTCTTTCCCGTATTAGTTCCTCCAAGTTGTTAGAGTACTTTTCGAGCATTTGAAACATCGTATCTACGATGTTTACTTTTCTTCCGTGATTTAATTTCTTGAACTGGTCATGAACTGTGTTGAAATCTGGACGCATTTCGGCTTGTTCGGCCCAACACTGACGCATTATATTTATAGCTTCCGGAGGAGCAGCTCCTTTACTGACCGAAGGCCGGATAAGAGGCGGAGGCCGTTTTACTTTTTCGATAATTTCTGAAAGAGATACACGTCACCTCCTTTCAAATCAAATTCATTTGTAAACCGTACGAGAGTCGAAAAACAATTATGCTTACGGGGAAAATTGCTTTTAGTGTCTGGACGAAAAAAACACGTAATCCGAAGGTTTTCTAAACCCATCAGTATGCAATGCACGAGAAAACCTAATTCACAAAACACACAGCTATCTTTCCAGAAAAAAATGCGAAACGTGAAGTGTGGTTAGATAAATTGTTAAACAGTTGCACTGAGATGTTTGGCTGGTTCAAATATTCCGTTCATGAGAGTAGTTTTAAGCTTTTTTACTAATGACGAAAACAAACATTTACTTCTTACTATACAAAATTAATTTAAAAATCACCAATAAGTTACAAAACATTTTTTTTTATTTTTAGGTAAAAGCCTATTCTTCTGTAAAGTGTCCCTTATGTCGCAAATATACGACAAAATGTATGTTAAGAAAAGTTGATTAGAATCAGCATCTAGTCTCATCCTGTACCAAATTTCTAAATCTTCTAAATCGCAAATAAAAAAACTTTATTTTTTTAACAATTATGATTATGAATAAAAAAAAATAAACAAAATTGACAAAAAGTTTTAATAATTATTTTTTGTAAGATCCGTATATAATAGAAAGTTTTATCCACAAGCAGACAATATAGACTAAATCAACATTTTGGCAAATTTTTATTTGACGTTTTAAAGTGACGTTTGTCGAATTAATTTTTATCCGGAAGTGAACAATGCTAATCATGAGACGGTTGGTATTTATTTTTCAGAAGACCCGTGTGTTTTATTGATATCATAAGATGTCTCCTAGTAGTGGTGTTATGACCTAATAATAGACTGGTTGTGGATAAAAATTATACTTAGTATATTTTTTTTTACAAATTTTTACAAAAGATAATGAAAAATCATAATAGTTGGCCGATAATTTTGAAATCTGGTGAACCTAGATGTTGATTCTAAACAAGTTTTTTTAATGATATTCTGTCGTATTTAAAAGACACTTTACTCTACAAAAAAGGAAGTTTTTTTTGATTTTGCAAAACTAAAATAATGTAAGAAATTAGTCTTTATATAATAATGTTTTTCTTATCTATTTTTATACTTTTTTATCTTTTCATCTTTTACAAGAGTTGTTTCACCTATCCAGGAAAACACTTTGTATTTACTACAGGGTGAATATTATAAAGTATGGAACCAAGCGGTTTTATTTTTAATCATTTGCCTCCAGAAAATAATAATTAACATAAATTAAAGTAATATAAAAAATGTGATCGTATTTTCAGAACGAAATTTTGTTTTGTTTTTGAGTTATGCGATTTTTTTTGCCAAAATTGCAATTTATGTGAAAAAATTTTTTTGAAAAAATTAAATATAAAGCAGTTAGTTGTAATCCTTAGAGTATAGCTTTTATGAGAAAAATGATTTTATAGTGGGTTGCCATTAAAAATTTTTTTTTTTGTATAACTCAAAAACAAAAGGAAATTTCGAAAAATTTTATTCTTTTTAAATCATCACATTTTTATAGTAGTTTATCACTCATCAATTAGTTTTTTCAAAAAATAAATAGTTTAAGCAAAAAACGTTTGATTCCATACTTTTTATTCACCTGGTATGTGTAATACTTCTTGTTCTAATTACTTAAACACTTATTAAAAATTTTGATCTTTTAGTCAAATCATAGTTTTATAATTAATTTTAAAAATTTAAATTTTGATACATATTTCAATTTAATTTCAGATATCAACAAAAAAAACGCTTTTTTTTAATTTATAACTTCATTTAATATTCTATAATTTTTCAAATTGTAAGTAATACCTATACATAGTAGTATAATATACAGAGTGTAACTAAAAGATAGAGACAAAACGTAACCTGAAATTTCCCAGGCCAAAGTAAAGCGATTTAACCCAACTTATCACTATACCAAGTTAGAAGACGACAATGAAATAATATTTTTTTTTGTTTAAATTATTAATTAATTACATCATTATTAACTAACACAAACATATCGAAAGATCAATATATGTAATTCAGAAAACGTATGTCTGTGAAACGTCAAATAAAATGACAAGTCAAAAAGTAAAATGGCATGATCAAAACGATAATGATTTTAATAACTAAATTTATAATTTACCTTCAAAAAAGATCGGTCTTATTGTTATACGAATCCGTCGGCGACTAAATCTAGCCCATTTTGCCTTTTTACTTTTTAATTTATCATTTTATTTGACGTTTGATGTGCAGTTAGATCAAAAATAGACATACGTTTTCAGATTCAAAAATGACTCGATTACAAATTATCTTGATCTCTCAATACATAGACACTTAAACTTAAAAAAAAAAATAATACAATTTTAAAAACAATAATAATAAATGGCCAACATCCAAAATTTTAACACATCGACTTAAACATTTAAACTTTGTTTAAACAACATGCCTTTCGAACAAAGAATTACGCCACTCGGATTACGTATAACAAAAATATGGCTTAAAATGTGCCTGTACCAAATTTCATAAAAATCGATTAATCTATTAAAAAATTCTTAAAAAAAAAACGAAAATAATTTTTAAAGTTTGTCGCCCTCTAACTTTTAAACGGTACCAACTTGGTATATACAGGTAATAAAAACCGTAACCAATTTTTAGACGCAACCCAAAATATATTCTCACAGATAACTTGGCTTTTGTTTAAACAGTACATCAAGTTAAGCAAAGTGGCAACTGAGAATGTATTTTATTTTGTACTCAATGTTAAAGAGCGCATTTATCAACTAATTTCAGTAGATAAAGTAGTCTTTTATCGTCTTGTGAAATAAAGTAATTTTTATCTACTGTTTATATTCGAGAAATTCTGGTAGGTGAGTACAAAATAAAACGAAATATTATACACGACGATAAAGATTGTTTAACTACTTGCAAAAAAAGTCGTAGATAAACAATTTCTTTATCGTCTTGTATAATAAATAACTATTGTAGGTCTGTAGGTAAAAGTTGGGTAAATCGCTTTATTTGGCATAGGAAATCTCAGGTTACTCTCTGTCTCCATCTTTTTGTAACACCCTGTATAGGTAATATCTTCTCACTTGCGGTAAAATTTTGCTGTAAATATGTATATTTCAAGTAAAATAAGCACAAACTATAAAAACACTACTCGTAATTGTTAATATTTTTAACAATGCATAAATAAGCAAATAATTAATTTTTTGTATAAAATAAAATTTGCATCATTAGATGCCTGGTCTAGTTTTGTGAAATATCGTTATTTACCTGAATGTGCTATTATTAACGCCAATTGCTAGTTTATCGATTTTGCGCTTGAATAGTTCCGTTAAAAAAGTTTTGATCTGTTATTTTGTGATTATTACATACCGTGCATTATGTGTAAAACTCTATTACTAGGAAAGGTTTATTCCAATTTGAATAACATTAATTAACTGTAAAACTAAATTGCGAGTTTTTGCCTGAAACTAAATAAGTTTATATTTATTTGGGAATAAACTTTAACGTACGAGCATTTATACATCGTATGGTCTTTCCTCGCGACTTCTAAGCAATAAGTTTTAATATCACTTCCTGAAAGTTTACGTATAACCGGAAAAGCAAGAAAGTAACGCGCTGAAGTGTATAATCTTTTACATGTCACAAGTAGCACGTCATCAACACTGATTATCACGTACAAACCTTCAGGTGTCAAAGCGAGCATACAGAATGGTTCTCCTCTAACGACCACTTCTTGTAAAACAATTCCAAACGAATACACATCCCCAGGCTGTGTTCCTTTTTTCCTTAAACTAGCATGTCGTAACAGCTCTGGTGCCGTCCATAAGAGCTCTGAAATGAAACAAATCTATTCCAACATTTTATAATATTATATTTAATAAAAACTAGAGCACGTGTCAAGATTGGCTTTTATTTGTGCACAATTTACTTTGATTACCAAGATTTGTTGGTCAAAATAAATGTAACATGTGCTTCCTTCTGCACAAAGTCAGAAACGTTGCTTTTGTGACTCTGTGAACCGACAAATTGGTGTTATTAATCATCTTTCTGTTCAGTCTGCCTCTAATTGCATCATAAATATATAACGAGAGAGTCTAGAGCTTTACCGGTTGCTGTCAAGAACTCAAAAATGCCCTCTCTCTACTTCTTTCTATTATTCAGCTAAATTGCAGGAAATTCACCAAACGTGAATATCGAGTGAGTTTTGCAAGACTCCCGTGAGAGTTTTTACGAACCTTCAAACATATTCTCTTTACCAAGATATTTTTGTTGCTTAATGATAATAACTGTAGTCGATTTTTAAAAAAGTTTCAAAAATCGAAAAACAATTTACAAATCGAATTCTTAATTATCTTCAGGAATTAGCAGGTCCCAGTCTTCATTATCTTTTAGATTAAAACAGATTCCTTCGAGAGTAACTTGTTTACAAGTATATAATATTCTTCCTCAGCGGTAAATCAAGTTGTAATTATTATATGGTATACACAGAATTTGAGTTAAATTAGGGTAAACCAATAATTTTATTAAATAATGCAAAAACAAATTCTTTTGTACTGTCAGTAACAATAATTTTTAAATACATACTCCAAATTCGTCTTGTGATCATCCAGGTGTAACAATGGATATCTCAAACGTTCAGAAAGGCAGAGAAATATTAGTTACAGCACAGTAAATCCTGCTCGTATAATTCTGGGTCTGGAAAAGCTTTGTCCGAGAGGAGATTTAGCCGTATTGGTTTCTCTTTGGCGGGCACATTGGGGAAGTAATCTACCCTAGTACATCCACCTTTAATAATATGTACTTCCATAATCCCAATAGATGGCGGTCTGGTAATACATCTTATCCTGAGGCAAACTTTTGATAACTTTTCGATAAATCCTATTAGCTGCAATATCTCCAATAAAAAAATATTTTTTGTGAATGAATTTCTCATAAAAATAAGAAAAAACGTGACAACTTTACATTAAAAGTATAATACATTAAGCATAAAATCACCTTCATTCAACCACCATCAGATAATGGATAAAAAACTTTTCTTTCGAAAGATACAATCAATAAAAAAGAAGTAACTGCCTGAAAATAAAACGTCAGAAAACTCTCTATAGTCGTAAACTATATCCTGCAAAAGTGTATCTTTAGATTACCGTAGCGGAGATAAATCACTTACTGTCATTCAATTTTTAACAAGTTGTCAGTTTTCTCTTCCGCACTCTTCACCATCAGAATTTTCGATTGGCTAATTGATAAATTAATATTGATTGACAATTACTTCTTGCAATTTATTGGTCGATTGATACATCGCTAATTTGAAGATTAATTAATGATCGTTATTTAACCTTCATTCATTATCTTCGGTTAAATGTGGATTAGTGGTGTGATTAACGCTCATGAGCGCTAATATATCACTCAAACTTCCTATCAGGTTGAGTTTAATAAAACCTTTTAACACTGACTAGCTATTAAATCGCGCATTTATAAAAAAAAATTCAAACTTAGTTGTATTCTCTTGAGAGCTATTGTGTTGCGAGTGTAATTACGGTTGGTTAAGAATAATTTAAAATAGAAAATCATTAATGGTGAAATAGAGTTTACAAATATGTTATGTTAATGACAGCTTCTATAGTTGTGATATCACAAGTGACAGGTTTTGTGCAAATTGCGAAATTCATTATAACGGAATCTCCTCCTCCTGATAACTGCATTGGACACTTGCTTCTGGAATGGATAATTCAATAAAGCATGTTCATTCCGGTAACAAGTGAGCAACACGAGACGCCGTATTAATAATGAAATAAAACAAACAGTAATTTCCATATTTCTCTGAATAAAATTTGAATATTTCATATTTTCACGTGGAGCTGTCTTAGTAACGGATACAACAGTGTCTCAAAAATTTTTAGCAAAAAGTAAAGTCTTGATAATACATTTTTGTGTCAGTTTTAACGTTTTTTTAGAGGATTAGGAAAGCTTTAAAAGATCATATCCATTCTGCTTTGCTAATATCCATTGTTCTTTTGTAAAATTTGCTTTGGCTTACTTTGCGATATAAAGTTAGACTAATTTTGTTAGGCATCCATGAAGCTGTACGGAAACCTATTTAACAGTGAGGATTAATGTGCAACTACCGCAACGTTTTCCATAGAAATTTATCACTTTTAACAAGACACGGTTTACACTAAGTGAAATCTTATCTAATGAAAATTTTAATAACAAGTTTAATGTCGTAACATACTGAAAGTGTTAAGTTGCGGAGTTGTATTTTGACTGCTTTAAACTTTTAGAATAAAAATAATATAAAGTACGTAGATTTATAAATAAATACTTCCTGTTTCTAACAGTAACAAAATTTAAAAAAAAAATGCGCAAGTTCGTGAACGTCAAAAAAGCGCAAACTAATTCAAGAAATAACATTTTCTTTATATTTCAAAAAAATGTGAAAAATACAGCAATTGAGAAAAATTACAACCAATTAAAAAGAATTAAAATAAGTTAAAACGGTTATAATCTGTTACAAAAAATATTCGCATGAATCGCTTTTCACATCCACATAGAAAACAACCTTGTTAAAATGATATTCGCTTCTCGTATTACATATTTCTTTTATTCGTTTTATTCAAAATCAAAATAAGTATAAAGCTGTTTTTAGATATTACAACATTTTTAAAACTATGTATTTGATCAAACTTTTTAATTTAAAATTTCCAACAAATGATAATAATATTAAGCATTCAAAAAGGTTTTGCTAAATTAAATTTTTTCTAAAATTTTAATGTTATATCTCAGATATGAGAAAGTATAGTATCATTTATCTGTATTCTAGTTTTGACATTCATCAGTTTTCATCTAAAAAGCGATTGACAAAAGTTGCCAATATGTGGTTCGTAAATAAATACCCATCATTAATTAGCACTCACTATACGAGTGAATTAAATTTACAAAATTATTATTTGGTGATAAATAAATTGAAGAAAATATATACAGGTGAACCAAAAGTAGTGCACAAAATTTATAATTTTATGAGTCATTTAAAAAAAACATCCTCGAACAGGTCAATCTTATTTATGTCAATGATTTTTAAGTATTTTAAGAGAAACCAACATTTTTGTTTACTGTTTGTGTAATATATTTTTTTAAAAAGATAGAAGAATGTTGTACCTATTACTAAAAACAGTCAACAAAATTGTTGATTGCCACTTAAAAAAATTAATTTCATTACTCAAAATCCAACGACGTGATAAATGTTACAATATTGTCAAATTGTAGCATTTATAAAAATAAAATTCACTTGTTTTTTTTTTTTTAAATGATAAAAACATGAATTTTGTGCGTTACTTTCGGTTCACTTGTAAATAGTTCTATAAATTTCTAAAGCTTGTTATGTTTCACTGATTAAGGTACAATAATTATGAATCAAATAAAGTAATTTTGTAAAACAAAAAAAAATTCTACATTTTGTGACATTCATTCATTCATTGTCGTTGAATTTCGAGAAAATGTAAAGAAATGACATTACTTTTCTTAAAGTATAATTTATTAGAAAAGTTAATTAAGCTTTCCTTGACATTCTTCCAAACTCTAAATAGCAAAATACAATTTCTAGTAAAGGAGGCAATAAATAACGCCTACCTGCTAATAAAACTGCCTCCTTTTATATACTGATGCAATAATATTAGATAATTTATCAAAAATTATTTGTGGGTAACTGAAATGCACCAGAACCGAATAATCAAGGTAGTTACTGCAATTTTCCTTTTAGTATTTCCACGAGATCTACAACATTTTAAATCACGTAGCAAATTAACTGTGTTTATTTAGTTCACCACGCAATTATAGGAAAACAAAGTTCCCGCATTTTTAATTGAAATTATGTACTCGTAGGTAAACACGAAAAGATTAAATTATTTTGTCGTAAATTGACTTTATAAAGTTAAACAAATTTTGAAAAAGCACTGTTGTTACTCATTTTTTGTTTTAATATTAATGAGTAGTTAAAACTTTTTTATTTTTAGTTACTTTAACATTCTTTTATTTTTGTACTGTTAATATAAAAATTTTGTTCATAAAACTCGTGCTACATAAAACCAAATATTTAAGATAACTAAGAAATAACTTACCTCTGGCAGTCTTAACTGGCGGTTGTATCCCTTGTGCTTCATAAAAGGCAGGTAATCCGTAATCTGTGACTTTCAACACCCACCTCGCATCAATAACGCAATTACGAGATGTCAAATAGCCGTGGACCCGGATTGGTGTGGAATGAAGGTATTTCATGCCCTGAAAAGTATCAAAGCATTTGAGATAGTAGCTTCGCTATCGCCTAAGGTGTTTGCTCCTATACAAAGCCTTTATTGTGTATGCAATAGCGGCCTGTTTCATACCACATTTATTTTAGATTGAACAAAAGATTTACAAGAGATAACTGAAATTCAATCTTTCACGATGCACGACTAGGAGGCGCAAATATGCTAATTTAATCTGCATATTTCCATTAGAATTAGTTATTTTGTTTCGCTGTGAATTCTATTACGTAAAATTATCTTTGGAGAAACATAATTAAAAATAAAACATGTTAAAGCACATTTCGATTCTATAATAACAGCACGTTTAGATTCATGTGTTAATCCAAAGAATTATTCGATTGTTGCCAAGTCGTGAAGTTTATGGATAGAACTCGTGCACGTCAATACGTTTCTATAAACAGAAACATTACTTTCAATTCATTCGACTTCAGTGTCCGCCTCTACACATTCCATTTAAATCAAAGTTTGCGAACAATTTTAGGTAAATTTCCCAGCAGTAAAACTATATTTTGAAGAAAAAACTTTCTTGAAATACATATTTCAAGATTTATACATTCGTTTCGTCCTACAACCTGAAACGAAGTTTGATCTTGCCTACGGTGACGCTTTGAAACTGGGTAAAGTCGATACGTAACATTGAAAGACTTCAGAAACGTTTGACGTCAAATCTAAATTTGGAGTGTATTGGGAATAACTAAATTTTGTCCTAAAAGAGCTTTTGACTTTTTTGGATAAAATAATATACAAGTACTTTAACTTGCTAGAAATGAACATTAATGCAACTGTAATAACAAATATGGAGAGTAAAAGAGTAAAAGCAAATGTTTGCATCGGAACTGTCATAGATATTATATACACTTTTCGCCCAGTCATTTGTAGTAGTAATATTATCAACATGCATTAACCTTTTATAAAATGAGATTACAGACTGACCCTGTAACCTGATCATCTCTGGAAACTCTCCCAAAGTCTAACAAAGCGTGTGAGTTTCAAACCATGTTCATCCGTGTTGTGTATTAATTACATTGCACCTCTACGCTAAATTCTATTAATAGATAAGTTGTGAGTACATTAAAAAAATAGAAATTTATAGGCTGAAAACATACTCTGAACTCGGAGAATAAAAACAGTGAATTTGAATGTCTACCCTGAAAAATCAATCGACTTGTTTTTGCTGAAATTGATAGCATGCATGGTTGAGGTGGATCGTTTTCGTATAAGGAGAACTTCTATTCGGCTAATTTAAATTCTTGTTTTACAACAAAATTATGGGAATACTCGTATTGCACAACGAATTGAGTTATAATTTAGTGATACTCGCATGTATATGTAGAAGCAATAAACTTTTAATACATATTTCACTAGTTTTAGTAAAGTTTAATTAACATAAAATTATTTCAACTTTAAATTGTGTTTTAGCATTTAATCGAGACTTAAGTTGTAAATCTAGTATTACTTTTTTAAAAGAATTTTTGAGTGAAATTATTAGTAGTGCCAAACTCAATTTCTTGGACAATTTGTGGCTTACGTAAACCTTTTATTCTATTTTGGCAACTCTCCGAGTCTCTCTAAAAAAGCTGTTTTTACATCTCCTGGTTGGAAGTGACAAAGTGTCATAAACACACCTCATCAAAAAGCTTAAATGGAAATTTGTAATCAATGTTTTTTTAAAATATATACTTTAAGTTGATTTATGAGCTACGTAGATACTTAATTCTTAATCAAATTATCTTAATCAAGTGATATAAAATTGCCAAAAAAATTAGATTTGCAATTAAAAAATAATACCTTTTTTTAAAAATGTATTTCTTATTTTTTCAATAAACCTTAGTTAAATAATTTCTATTTATAAATATTTTATAAATCCAACATTTTTATACAATAACAATTATAACTAACTAAAATATTTTAAAAAAAGTTATATTTTCCCCGGCGCATCCACCAATTACAGAGTTTTTTTAACTATTTCTTGTTCTTTCGTTATAATTCACAAAAAATAACTACTTGTACTTTAATAATAAAACTTTTATTATTTATTTTTAAAAATAATATTAAAAATATTTACTATAGTATAAAACAGACTGCTAATGAAAAAATAATAATTGACAAATAAATAATAAAAACCAATTTTTTTTAGTAAAGCTCAGTTAGAACTTTCAATCATAATTTTTATTAATATTTAATAAACTCATCATTTTTTTATTCAATAGAAAGTAACTAAAATACAACAAAATTATTTATTGCCCGGCGCATTCACCAATTTTAAAGTTTTTAATACAGCATTGTTGTTTCGTTATCATATTTCACAAAAAATATCGCTACTCTTACCTTACTAGCAAAACATTTATTATTAATTTTTATAACTAATAACAAAGAAAAATTTGCAATTGTCAAAAATATACTAAGAAGTTAATTTTTTCTTGGCCGGCGCATCTATGAATTATAAAATTTAAGGAGGTAACAATTTAAAATTTATTAAATTAAAGAAATATATTAATTGTTATTATATTCCACGAAATCAAGAATCGAAATGTAACAATTGTATTAAATCTTTTTTAATTTTAGTAAAATTAATCAAATATTACAATGTCATTTTTATTATACAAACTGTGTAATTGTGTGTAAATTAGAATAGTATATTAATTAAAAAACGCGTTTCGTAAGGTGGTGGCTAGTAATAAATGTCACAAAGTTTAAAATATTCGATTTTCGAAGTGTCAAATCTCGAGTGTTTTTCAAAATTTAGTTGAATTAACAATACCACCTAAAATAGAAAAAATAACTCAAAACGCCGCCGAAAATTTACTAAATTTTACTAGTCTATTTCAGTATCTGAATTGGTAATCAAATGCCTTGTTAAAGCATCGGTTTTGGTATCGAAATAAACTTACTTTCAGAAGCAAAATAGAAAAAAAATTATGGTCCTCCCTTCAAAAACGTTGATTGAATTTATCTAAATTGTCCAAAAACAGCTCTATTGATGTACTATCAAAATGTGTTATCAAAAAAATAACCAAATGTTGCCAATATTGTATTTTAAATTTTTGGAGCAGTTTGATTTTATAGCAAATATTTAATGTATTGAATAATTTTTTTAATTTAGAGTTCAATTTGGACATTGTGTTGACAACCTGAAATTTTCCTAGCGCAAACTATTTGATTTTTTTTGAGCTTTTAAAACAATTTAAAAATGATCGGACCAAAAAATAATGTGTACTCGTATCATACGGCCAAAAACTGTTTTACAAGAACTTATGAGGTCTCGACCCATGAACTGCGCTCACACTTGCAAAATGACAATTTCTAGCCTCGTAATACAAATAACTAACAATAAATTGTAAAAACTTTAAATAGTGTCATTTAAAAACAAGTACTGAATTTATTAAAGTTTTTCTGGTACCGCGTTTATTATTTTACTCTTTACCCAGCGCGAATTCTATGCCCCGCCTAGGGTCTACTAAACATGCTTGCAATGTATTTAACAACTTATGTACTTTGTATAGAGCAGCTGCTCAAACTTTGAAAACATGTGTTTATATCTATAAGCAACAAATAAAAAATTTGATCATTTTTTAATTAACAATACTTTGTTTATAAACACTGTAAGGTTGTTTAAATTTACCTAAAATTAAAAATAGATACAATACTTGTTTACATCGAAAACAGAAAGGATATAGTTCTCAAGAGTTTGGTTTACAAAAAGAGGACAGTCGCTTGCATACTCGCGAAACTTTGCTGTATTCCCAACAACCCAATTAGATTGTTAAACAACGTCTTGTTCTCAAAGGTCGAAGTTTGTGGCAAAATCTGTAAACTTGTAGGCTAGTCTTTGTTTAAGAGAGCAATGATCATTAACGCTCAGCAGTACCAACCTACGTAACTTCGCTAATAAATGAAAATAGCTGCAAGGGCGTTAGGAATTTATTATGGGCGATTTCGTCCTGCTGTGTAAACATAATACCGTCGTAACATCGATTATAGACAGCAGGTAAATTAATCCTGCAATATTTGCCATCGTCGTGCGTGTTTACATCCTGCACTCACCCGGACTAAATCCGTAAGCAGACTCAAGCGGAAAGACCAGTCGAGCTTGATGTCATCCTGCTGGAGCACGTCCTGCAAAGAACCTCGAGCGCAGTATTCACTCACGAGAGCTGCTCTTGGCGGTTCTGCCAGACATCCTATCAACGGATTTAGGTTCTCGTGTCTTAAACCGTGCAGTAACACCAAGAGTTCCACGGTTTTCGCTTTCAACTCGACAGTGCCTCCTGTTGAAGGCACCGGTTTCATTTGCACCAAATCACCCTGAAACGAGATAAAATCGATAAGCAATTTAACACTAATCCCACATATTGGACCATGCTTTTTAAATATCTCGCCACATTTATACAATAAACACAAGAGAAAGGGGATTTTTAATCGCGAAAATAACAAAAACAGAAGCGCATAGAATAATGCAAAATAAATAAACAAAAATTTTCGACAACACACCAAAAAATCGTTTAAATAAAATATCACTTGATTTTTGACATTTTTAATTATTTTAAAAACAATTATATTAAAGTTTAACACACACTAAACACGAATTAGCATTTATCGAGTGTTTAATCTGGCACCTTCAATCACGTTTGCAATTTGCATTTATCTGTAATGGGTTTATTTCCAAACTAAGCACCAGAGACAACCTGCAAAAACACTCGAAGCACAGCTTGCATGCATAAAATATCCAAATACGTACATTATATCGGACTCGAGGGTCTACAATGAGTTGTTTTGCCAGATTCGGACTGGACCCTCCACGTAATGGCGTTTTCACCGATGCCCCTGAGCCTTGTAATAGATCCGGCTTATCCACTTCAGGACCCCCGAATTCCTGAAGCTGTTGTAGCCAACAACACAACATCGCTTCGATACCTTCATCTACCTGGCCAGACAACGAACGAAATAATTAGATAAAAACCTTAAAAAACTATCTGTTACAAATTAAATAACTGAATTAACAGTAACCAAGTTGGGACTGAAAAAAGTAATTTCAAACTCTGGTATTTGAGATCAATAGAACCAATTTCAACTCAAACTTTCTCAAACTTGCTACTCTTTACAAAATATATTCTTACAATAAATCAATTTACCATTGCGTTAACAAAATGTATTACAACTTTTAAATTTGTGATTTTTAATATTACAAAATATAAACGTTTTTTAAATAGCCCCAATAACTGAAACTTTCCAGAATACGCGTAATCAAAAGAGAGACTTTGATTGATAAAATCGATTGCTTAATTTTAGTCTTTAAATTTCGTATTGACAAGTCATGCCGTTGGTGAATCTTAATTTAGTACATCACAAATGTAAATTGGCAATTTATGGCTTCATTAAATAAAAAAAACAAAAATTCTAATTAAAAATCGTAATTATTTTTTCTAATACTTTAAAGTGATTGAAAAATAAATAGCTCGTAAATGGCTTGGCTAGTTTAACAACTACAGCATAGTTTGTTATTTTAAACTTTCCTCTGAAAAAAGAAATGTTCGCTAATGTAAAATCTAACGTTTTTATTCAATAGTAAATCTCTTTGAACTACAGTATAATAAAAAAATAATACTTGCATTAGTTGTCATACAAAATATTAATAAATGTAGGTATAATAGTAGCAGGTGCTAATAAAGCATAATAAATTTGTATTGTATTTTAACAAAGAAAATTTGCATTGCAACAAAAACAACTCATAAATTTGGAATTCTTTTAATAGCATATTGAATATTGAAATTGAATTACTTTCCACAAAATCGTATTTTGAGACATTGAAACGTTTATTGAAATTGCGAAAAATCTGAAGCTTGAACATCTTTTAAATACAAATTATTTTTTGTGCTCCCAAATAATAATTTAGTTGGAAAAATTGTTCACGCAATATAAGTTTGTAATTTGGTGAGTGCATTTTTGTAGACTATCCAAATCTATTATTGGAACATTCATGCAATTACGAAAATCGCAAAATCTCTCTTACACAAATTTGAAATTAATCAATCCCAAATTAATCTGCATATTTCATGAATTTATGAAATGCTTAATCAAATGTCGATTAGCAAGCTTTCAATTTTAAAAGCATTTAGACAAATACGAAAGTTTCACTAATTAACAGTTTTGTTAATTTCATTAGAATTTTATTGCCGAGTAAAATGTAAATCTTTGACTTTCGCCGTATAATTTTGTTATTTACTACATCGTAGAATAGAAAGCAAAGAAAAAAACGAACATAAACATAAATATAGAAGCAACGCAGATCCAGATAACAAGACGATTTTCCGAGATCAACCTGCGTTGATTTCTGTTCCTCCACTTTAAGCTTTAATGAAAGTGATTTTATTATAAAAAGTGGGTGTTAGAAGATTAAATTCAAACAAAATGTGGTTAACCTATTTACGAGTATGTCTCAAGGACATAACAATGTACGACGCTAGACTTCACCCCCACACAAGTATTTCAGTTATTTAAAATAACTCACCGTACTCCATGAAGATGCTACATTCAAGCTCATGTTTTTACATATTTATGAGGAATAGAAAGAAATAGAAAGAAATAAAGTGTCTATGGACACTAAATTATTTGTTTGTAGACCCATACTCATATGTTTTACACAAGATTTTATGACTAATTAAGAAATAAAAATTGCAAAGTCTTGTTTGAACGAAAATGTCTAATTTTCTTTTTTCCCTCTAAATTAGAAAATGTATTCAACGCGTATTTTTCTTTCAAATTTTAAACTTTTCAAGTAAAAGGAAAGGTTAGTTGAATACATTTGTGTTAAAAAAACAGGTAAATGAACGCTTCAGAGTATCCTTCATTAACATGCATTTTTAATCGTTTTATCCTTTTAAAATTAAAATGCACCTATCGTGTGTTCGAATAAAAAATTAAAAATAAAATTTGGTCGAGATTAAATTATTCGCTCAGGAAATTATGTTCCTCGCCCCAACGAGCTCAATTTAAAGTCTTGATGTATAAAATAAGGTTAACAATTAAATAAATTATAAATGTAAATTGAGTTAAAAATTTATTACAACAGTACTTAACAATTTTTAAAAAATTAATACAGTAGTTTAAAGCTTTACTAGTTTTTGCCTCGGTTTTTGCTATGTTATACAGGGTGTTCCGTTTTTATTGTTACAAATTTAAACAGGTGAGAAAACATTCAATTTTAAGACAAAAGTTTCCTATGAGCTACACCCCCTGAAAAAAATGATATTTTTGGTACAGCTGATAAGACCTGAACGAATTCAAAGATCAGTTGTCAAAATTTTAAACACGGGTGTTTTAAACGGAGAAACAAATTTAATTTTTAATTTTTATCCTTTTTATGGTCTGTAAGACAAAGTGTAAACTGATTTTACTTAAAAACGGTAAGTTGAATCAAAAAAACCCAAGAGACCTCTTTTTGTAAAAAACTATGAAATTTAGAATTTTGTGGTTGAAAGTGCCACGAACCAACAGCCAAAATAGTTAAAGTACTTTTACCCTAATCTCCCCCAGTTTAAGACGCCCCAGAGTAAAAATTTCGACATTTTATCTTTGAATTCGTTTGGGTGTATAAAAGTTATCAGCTGTAACAAATTTTGAAATTTTATCTACAATGATTGCTGAAATATTGGAAGAAATCCATTAAAAGATGCACCCCTTTCAGGGTATGTAGCTCCCTTATTTAATATTTTTCGATACATGCTTATAGGAGTTTTATAGTTTTCTTCCTCGGTTTTGTTATGTTATATAATAGATTATTGTAAAAATTACGTATTTGATGTATTTCTGCAATCTTTTACATAAAAAGGAAATGTGTCCATTAAAATTTATATTTAGTAGATGGTTTTTAAAAATATCAACTTTTTTGAAATAATATTTTTTATTAATATTAATAATTATTTCAGTATACTTAACATAAAGTAAACATTTAAAAAAAAGTCCCAAATATACATACTATACATATTATTTGACTCATAGAGTATCAAATAATAAATTAAACATAACGAAAAGTAAACTAAATTTATAAATTAAATATTTTACAATACTGTGCCTCCGTTAAAGCATAAAAGTGAACTCTGGTTTTGAAATTAAGTTGGAAATATTGAAGAATGTATTAAATACAAAATAAGACGTAAAATATGCCAAATTACATGTCTTTTGTTTCTGATCTCTTTAGTTTTGCGAAAAGAATTCTGAATCATAGACTATAGTTTAATATTTTTTCTTAAAATAAATCAAATAAAACACAATTCATGTGTCCATTGTTTGTTTTTTTTATATTCTTAAAATATGTAAAGTGTACTCTAATTAAAAAATTATTTTTATCTTACAGGATGAGTTTTTGAGCTACCTTAGACCATTGTTTTCGGTGATAGAAATCAAATATTATTCACAACTAAAATAAAGAACTCACAAGTGAGATAAAGTACTCACAAGTGAGTAAATGTGTCTATTATATCATATTTACTATTATATTTTTATAGGTGAATATTTTACTTGAATGAAACTTCATTTTTTGGATAGTTGCACCTGTGAGATAAAACGTCGTATATCACACGTGATCGAAATGCCATTATGAAACTCGTGAGAAAATTCTCACTCGCGTATAATGATGCATTTCTATCACTTATAATCTAATGTACTATTATTAGTATTAGTTTTGTGTAATGTATAATAGAAAAATAAATAAAAAATAAAAAAAGAAAAAAGCAGCATTTCATTTCGTACATAATCTGAGAAAATATGAATAAGATGTGGAACATGAGTGTAAGGATAATGATTTCAATTTTCCGTCCTGTTTTTCATTTACCGTAACAATCATCCGGAATATAAACACGTACACTCAAATTTTCCCTGTTATTAAATTTAAAAGATTTTAAAAATTAATAAATTTTGGCCAAATTTGTCATTAACAAAATATGAAATTTATTAGGAGTCAAAAGATAATGGTACAAAAAACCATAACTCCAAGTTATAATTAAGTAAAACAACTTCCTGCACTCGGCATTCCGTTAAACAATCGTAATTAGATTATTATTTGTAGAATCTTAACGCTGTACGAAATTTACAAAGTTAAAATCCATTAATACATCCAATAAAGCGTCCTGTTTAACTCTAATAACTAAAATTAATTAAAGCTACTGACACAGTCCTTCGCTGAAAATCAATGCAAAAGTTGGCATAAAGTTGCTCAGGGAATATTCCCGGAATCTCTTTCAAACAAAATCAGATAAATCGGCAATAATTTCACTCACCCTGCGACTGTCGGCGATCTGAGGGAAGACAAAATCGGTGGCGGTCAACAAAACCTTGTAGGGTCCTTTTGAAACCCGCTTTTTCAGCAACTGACTCCTGGCCAGCGCCACCGTCCCAAGGAGCACCGTGAGAAACAAGCAGGAGCACCCCAGAATCCCCAACACACTCAGCGATTTGGCGAGTTCGGGTTCACACCCCTCACACTCATCCAACTGTTTGTGCTTGAGCATCCACTCCTCCAAATTGTCCGAGACCTCGACCACCACAAAGTCACTCGAATTGTCCCTGCTGACGGTTAACAGCGGCCGAAACGCATCGTCCTCGTGCAGGCCCGTCAGCAGGAAAGCGTCCAGCTGATCCTGCACGCCGCTGAAGCTCGCGATGGATTTTTGAATGTTTTTCAAAACGACACTTTCTAAACTCGCGTTGTCGGCCTCGCTGTAGATCAATACGTATTTTTTACTAACCGCACTGACCGAGTCCAGATAATTTGTTGCGTTTGAGTCCGCTTCGGTGGTGTTTTTTTGCGCGAGAGCGTATTTCCACGAGAGCAAATTCGATACGTCCATAAACACCGTTAATGTGTTGTGATCGTGGGCCAGTTGGAGGTTATCAATTACTTCCAACACCATTTTGCCGGTCTCATCCGCAGGTAGACACGCTATTACAGCTGAAAAAATAGAACCACGAATGAAAGAAAACACAATTAAGGCTCTTAACGACGTTATCAAAGAGAGAGCTGCTCATAAAGGCTTATTCCTGCTTGCTCTCTAAATATGATCTTTAATTTTTCTCCGCGATGACTGTATTTGAGCTCAGCTTTACGCCGACACTATGAAAATTAATCTTCTAGACGCGATTTTTAAGAAAACAGATGGTGCAAATAGAATCACGTGCCAAACCTGGAGAAATATAGCTCTATTGCAGGGCTAATTCCAGTTTGAAATTCATACTCGCAACATTCAAACTCTTACATTTTTTGAGTTATACCTACAGGGTTGAGCAGAAACAAATGCCAATATGGCCATGTCACACGTTAATGATAAAATAAGGTTTTCGAAAATTATTTTTTTTTTATTTTTTTATAATTATTTTATTTTTAATTTGATCAATTTCACAAATTTAATAAAAATGTAGTTTTTATAAATCAAAAATTTTTGCTTTTTGTCTGAAGCTAAAGAAATTTTTTAAAAAACAAAGTTGCATATTATTGTTTGCGTTTTTTGAGTTAATCCTAGATTTAAACAACCTATATATTTGTAAATATTCTGTAGCTTGTTTAAAATCATTCTTTCCAAAAAATTATAGTTAATTAGATATACAAACTTTTCTATAGAAATATCTTTAACCATGTTAGTAATTGAATTTGTTGTATAATCATTTTTTTATTAATTTAATTTTACTTATAAGAAAAAACCCAAAAACCGGTTTTATTTTTATTTTTTTAAGAAAACAGTTATTTACAAGTTATATTCAACTCGGAGACTTTAGTGTAGATCTGCCTGCATATGTATTGAAAAATTTTTTAGAAGAACATTTTAAAGTGAATATTTTTTTTAATGTGATTAGTTATAATTTTTACTAATTTTAAGTATTTATAATAATAACATATGTGTCTAAAATCATAGTCAGTTTTATTATTACAGCTAATCAGTAAAATTTTTAGATTTTATTTGCAAACGCTATACAAAGTGGTTCAAAACTCACGCTTCAGAGAAAAATGCCAAGAGCATTGAAAAATTAAAAAAAAAATTTATCTGGCAAAACATTTTAACATTTATTTTTGATATTTGACTTTTTTGTTTATTTATGTTTTATTTATTGTTACTGATCATGATCTTGTATGTTTTTTTTATAATTATTCAGTAAAGATACAAAATCTCTGCCAATAAAAACCACAAATAACGTTAAACATAGTTATAATTCAAGGTACAGTTTTTTTTGTTTCCTCTTCTAATGGTCTGCATCAAAAAGATGTAAAATTATTTTTCCAACAGAACTAAATAAGATGAAAGTGCAAAATTTAAAACTCCGTAATTTTTAAATTTTTATACCAGGTGAATAAAAAGTATAGAACCAAACTTTTTTTGCTTAAACTATTTATTTTTTGGAAAAACTAATTGATGAATGACAAAGTACTATAAAGATGTGATGTTTTATCAAAAATAAAATTTTTCAAAATTTTTTTTTTAATGGCAACCCATTATAAAACCATTTTTCTCATAAAGGTGATGATCTAAGGATCATAGGTACTTTATATTTAATTAAAAAAAATACATAAATTGCAGTTTTGACAAAGAAAATCGCATAAACAAAACAAAATTTCGTTCTCAAAATACGATCACATTTTCTATATTACTTTAATTTGTATTAATAATTATTTTCTGGATGCCAATAATTAAAAAAAAAACCGCTTAGTTCGGTACTTTATCTTCATTCTGTAGATAGTAATGTTGATGTTTAATTAACATAATTTTATTTTTTAACACCAAAGCCAAAAGTTATCCTTTAGGATAGAAGTTGTTTATTCCCATAGAGTAGGTAAATGCTTTGTCCCCCTCCCTCCACACACAAAAACAAACTCAGAAAATAAAAAAAGACATTTTTTTCTTTCCAGGCAGTACATTTTTTCTTCCTTCAAAGTTTTTTTAAAATTTATTTAAATGTTTTTTTCTTCTCTTGATTCCAATATTTCCTTCGCTTCCGACTTGTAAAATAAACAGCACATTACCAAAAAAACTTATCTAAGCAATTAAACTAAATTAAATTAAAAGTCTACGCTTTATTTATGGTTGCAAGCAACGAAATAAAACATATAGACCTTTCGGAATAAAAGTTATTCACTAGGAACCCTTTTCGTGCACCCACTTGAATCACAATCATCGGCAAGGAACGCGATCATAAATCATCCAGTATTATAGATATACTAACCTACTTATCGTTTGGCTACAAACTCAAATAAAAGCAAAATATATTTGTGATGATTTAGTGACACTATAATCAAAAGACACGCTTGTTCTTTCCTACGCTTCGACAACAATCATATAAATTAGATGAAAAATATTGTGGAAAATATTTCATTTTGCTGCAATTTTTCCACTATGTTGGTTCATAACGAAGAAAAACAAAAGCAGAAATGCAATTTTAAGAAAAATAGTAATATTTCTTACTTCCAATTAAGTTTCATGATAAGAAAACGTACCTAAGTACTTGTAAAATTTAAAGTTGATTAAATGAATTTAGCTCACATTTAAATTCAAAACAAGTCTGTTGCTTATGTACTTGTATTGCAAGCTGCACTACGAGTTGTAACGGTTTAATTAAGTTGCATCGCAACTAAAGATTAGTTTAAACAAGACAAAACAAAAGTTCAAAGGTTTAAGAATTTCTATAAAAATAATTCATTCTGATTTTATTCTCTCCCTGAATCATTTATTTTCAGCACAATTTTTGTTCAAGTTGTAAATTTATTCAACAAAAGCCCCTATTAAAGCATTTATCATACAATTTCGACGGCGATCAGATCGTGTGCCACACACAGTCGGCTAATTAAAAACATTTCGAGAAAAATCGTATCTAATTAAAAAATTAATACGGAAATAAACTAAATTACTGTTCTCTATATTTTATCGCATAATCCAAAATTCAGCTCTGAATAATCTAACCCACCTGCTGCACCACTAGTGAATAAAAAAATGACATCCGGAATTTGAATATTAAAGTCAAGTAGAAAAGGCGGAAGTTCTATGAGAGTAACCTGCTTTGAAAAGGATCAAAGAGTGACATCGATCTGTAATAATGCAGGTGAAAAAGCTCGGTGAAAAGAAATCTTCCGGAATTAACGTCAATCAATACCCGTTATTTTGTGACACAATTCGACTCACCTCGGCACGAGATCCTCTTCAAAATTCTCAACTTATTTTCAAGATGTCTTCTCGAGCTGTTTCTCTCTATCATGAAAAAGTGTCGCGGGATAATTCCAATCTCTCGTAATTGTATGTCGATGGATTGTGACAGAGAAGGCCACCACCCGTCCCCTGAAAATACATCCAACATGAAACTGCTTAATCGCCAGTGGTTTATAAATTTTACGACGAGATTCGTGGTTTACGGTTGGAAATTTTATGCTTTAGTTCTTTTTGCACAAGTGTCACTGAACTTGATTTGAACACAAAGTTCGATTTTGTTTATTTAATTTGCTAAATTAATTTGGCGAGAGAAACCTATAAATCAAAATTATTAACCAGCTTGGTAACGATAATTCAATTATTCATTTAGTTATTGACAACGTACATAACTTAATTCAATGTGGTTAATAACAAAGACATACCTGCTCCAATTCAAATGCTAAAACTAATTTACAACATTAATAACATTACATCCAACGTTCTGCTTATTCTACACAACGAAGCCAAGTAAAAGCAATTTAAACTCAAAAGAAATTCTATTATTTTTAACATTCAAAAAATTTTTACAATGACTTTTTTGAGTCAATGTATTTCCCTGAAAGTCTCCAAGGTTTATTGAACAAAATATGCCATAAATTGCAAAGGCGAGTTTGTAGATACTCTGAACTCTCAACTTGATAGTAACCCATGAATTTTTAAGGTGAAGCTTGGGAATTGAGCATCAGTTTTAAACATGTAAAACATTGAGGTAATATTTAAACGCATAAAATTGGGAAACCAAAAATCGGAATCACACATTTTTTTGTTTAATTATCTCTTATGTTTTTTATAAATAACCAAACCTAATTCGAATTCCTGAGCAAAATAAAAGCATTCATTGTTATTGCATGTATTAAAAATTTACAAAAAATTCAAATTATTTTAAGTGTGCTGTTGTCGTTCTACGAGTAACTTTTTTTTTCACTACTAGCTGTAAAAGATACCATTATTTAGTTTGTCGAGAGGTCGTGAAATTGTTTTTCTCTCCTAGTAGTCAATAATCATTTTCATTTTAAATCAAAGGCTGTAATATATTAGAGGTGGGTAAATGCCGATATTGGAGAGTATTACATTAATTCAAATATTTATAGAATATTATTATTGAAAACTATTACCATCACAACTACTAACGAAAGTATTTTAAGATTAAATTAATGCAAAATCAAATTAAAAGACTTAAATTTCGTCATTAAAAACACAAGAATAACCCCAACTCTAATACTTCTGACTATGTCAAAACTGTCAAAGCAACAAATGGGTATTATTTCTTGTTAATATACTATCGGTGATGAGGCAAATTTTAGAAGTACAATTCATAACCTCATTTATGATAAGAAAATAATACTTCCAACTTAATAACTCAGGTAAGGATTTAATTACTGTAGGTAATAGTGAATTAAGAAAAATAGTAGTTGTAAATTACGACATGTTACGTCTGAGGCAACATGTCCATTAAGTAGGGTGATATTTTTCACGGTTGTATTTCTGGGTAATAAATGTGCTATTAGTGAAAAAAAAAAGTTATATAAAACACGGTAGAAAAGATTTTTACAGCCTCGGATTTATTATTTCCCTCAATGCTACGCATCTCAGGAAATAAACAGCTCGGCTATAAAAAATCTCTTCTCTACCTTGTGTTATAATATACTATTATTTTTTACAAATGCTTTATAAAAAATTTGCTATCTTTATTTAAATATTTTATTCTCACACTTATGCAAAAAATACCAAAAACTCATATTGCCGAAAGCTAAAAATCATTTAATCAATTACTGAGTAGAACTAAAATGTTTTGCAAAAACGATTAACTTTCAATTACGGAGCACTGCAACTGTTTTATCTATGTAAACCTTCCCGCTTTGCGAAACAGCAAATTACTGATCTGCAGTAATTAAATTTTCTCGCATATTCTCCACAAAAGCAGAAACCAATAACTAACCCAAAATGGCCGTTTTGTATTTAAAAAATGTGTTACAAAAGAACGGTATTATAAAAACTAAACGATTTTTGTGTCAGCAAGTTTCAAATTAGAATGAATTCTGACAAGCACCCTATTTTCCAAATCAATAACTCCGCGTTATATAAAGACATTGTCATCTTTATCATATCTAGTGACCGAAAATAAAGTAAGGAGAAAGTTCTTGGAAAGTGCAGAGTTTGTCGACTCTGATAATAACCATCCTGAATTGGTCCACATCTGTAATAGCATCTCCAAAAACCCTTAACGCGACTTTATTGAAAAGAGATTGTTAGTGGTCGTACTGATAGTCTTATCATTTCACGAAATCTAATCCTACAAACCGTAAAACCACAGAAAACTTCAAATAGACAGTTTTTAGACTGTAAAAAATGCAATTATTGTTATAGTCGTAACCAGGAATATTTGGGATTGACGTATGCAAAGCTTTATTGAGGGTTAAGCAGCTTTGAGGTCGGCCGTAATAATTTTTCACTGCTGGTGGTACTACCCTGAAAATTTACAAAAGAGCAGTATTCAGGAATTTTCGTGATAGGCTTTTAATTTATTACAGGCATAAATTTTGCAATTTATACAGTATGTCCCCGGATTGAGTTTACAAGAGGAAAATCTGTAATTAAAACTTCATTATTCTAACTCAGTAGAAAGAAAAGTTCATTTTTCTCTTGATTTTTTTTCTATTTCGGTGTTAGAATAGGTCTATTCCATCACCCAAATGACGTTATTTGCGTGCTGGAATAAGTCGTTCGCGGTAATTTAATTTTAGTGACGGACTTTCTTCACAATTCATTTTCGAATGTGAAAATAAGAATAATTTTTATTTTTTACAGCCGCCTAAAATTATTCCACACATCAATGTCGCCAACCGTCGCAAAATTCTCTAGAAAAAAAATAAAATAAAATTTTCGTTTTTTAATTTATAAAATGATATAAAGCGGCAAAATAGAAAAAATAGTATAAAGCACTTGTTGCAGAAGATTCTTCAAGCACTCATTTGTTCCTCAACTCGCCGCTACGCGGCTCGTTTCGGAATTTCAAATTTGTGCTTCTGCAACTTGTACTTTAATATACTATTTTCTATTTCGGTGTTACAATAAGTCTATTCCAGCATCCAAATGACGTCATTTGAGTGCTGGAATAAGCCGTTGGCGTTAATTTAATTTTAGTGACGGACTTTCTTCACAATTCATTTTCAAATGTGAAAATAAGAATTATTTTTATTTTTTACAGCCGCCTAAAATTATTCCACATAAATGTCGCCAACCGTCGCAAAATTCTCTAGAAAAAAAAAATTAATTTTCGTTTTTTTAATTTATAAAATGATATAAAGCGGCGAAATAGAAAAAATAGTATAAAGCACTTGTTGCAGAAGYTTCTTCAAGCACTTATTTGTTCCTCAACTCGCCGCTTCGCGGCTCGTTTCGGAATTTCAAATTTGTGCTTGAACAGATACCTTCTGCAACTTGTACTTTAATATACTATTTTCTATTTCGGTGTTACAATAAGTCTATTCCAGCATCCAAATGACGTCATTTGAGTGCTGGAATAAGCCGTTGGCGTTAATTTAATTTTAGTGACGGACTTTCTTCACAATTCATTTTCAAATGTGAAAATAAGAATTATTTTTATTTTTTACAGCCGCCTAAAATTATTCCACATAAATGTCGCCAACCGTCCCAAAATTCTCTAGAAAAAAAAATAAAATAAAATTTTCGTTTTTTAATTTATAAAATGATATAAAGCGGCAAAATAGAAAAAATAGTATAAAGCACTTGTTGCAGAATGTTGTTCAAGCACTCATTTGTTCCTCAACTCGCCGCTACGCGGCTCGTTTCGGAATTTCAAATTTGTGCTTGAATAGATACAATCACAATCACCTACGTAATATCCCGATTACCAACCTTTTAAAGGTTGGGAAACACGTCATTATATCTCATAAGGAGTAATAATATTAATCCTCTTGGGTGGTAATATGCAAAATTGCCAACGTTAAAATTACAAAAATACCGGAAATTTTTCTTTCAAATTATCAAGTTACTCATAATATTTTGTTAAATTAGTATTCAATTGCTTCTGTAGCAGTTTTTTTTTACTTCTGGGAGAGGATACTGTGTATTCACAGCTGCTTTTACAACTGCAAATGCTAGACTAATATTGTACGAAATGTTAGAAAATACGATGACAGATTTAGATTCCTTGTAAAAATGTGCCTTAAGAGCGTCCATGTTAAAAACGACTAGGTCTTTTAGTTCTCGCTTGAAAAAATAAAAACAAAAATTACAAATTTTCGTATTTTCCAATAATTTAAAAACTAAAAATGACACATTAAAGTCTCTTTCAGATAATTATTCAGCGCAACTTTGCCCTAATTTAACCGACCTCGTATCTCTTATGACCGAAAATGCGAGTTATAACAAAGGTATGTGTGCTTTAAAAGAGGATACGCCCAGTTCTTCTTTTAAGTTCATCTAACAAAATTACAGCAAAACTAGTAAAATTTTAAAATTAAATAATAATACTCCTAGTATTTTATGTAAATATTAAGGGCATAATTAGAAGATTATGGCATGAGGGAACGAGGAACGAGGGCTTTTAAATTCCCGAGGGCTATAATCAACAATAATGTCCGTGGTACATACTACGTTTTATTCTATTTTATTTCTAAAAGATTCAAACAAATATTTAGAATTCCTTAAAGAAAATCAACTAAAGTTTGTGTCCATGCAAATTTGTGTGTAGAAAGTTAACTATTTTAATGTTGTTAAAGTTACTGCTTTTGTTTAAAAAACAATTTATTTTTTTAAATGAACGTTTCTGAAGCAGAAAGCGTTTATTCAAAAAAAATTCAGGAATTTGAAACTACTCAGGGAAAATTGATTCCCCTTAATTCAAAAGATTTGTATATGACAAATTTTGATACCATTGTTTGAATAATAATTAAACCAACCGTTGCTTGCCAGATTTTTGACAGATCTGTGCCGTAATAGTATGTTATACAACGAGCGTATAATAACCATTATACGCGAATAGTATACGATACTTTATCCACGACTACTAAATATTTTTGTTGAAGCATTTTTGTTGGAAAATTTTGTTACATTAAGTATGTTAA